GATGAAGCAAGGGCTGTGGGGACCTGGGGATGAGAGGCTGGCAGAGTCTCACAAATCAAAGCCCCAGGACTTAAGGAAGCAGAGTGCCACTCATGCCTTATTTTAAATAAATAAGCGGCTTAAAAGTCTCCCGAGAGGCTGGCTTGTCGCTGTGAGACATGGCTTCTCACCCTTCTTCAAGGCCGGGCCCTTGAGCCTGGGCCCCTCAAAGGCCTCCACGACCCGCCTAGCCTCCCGCCACCTCCTTGCAGAATTAATTGGTCCCAGTGGCATTACACACAACTTTATTCAAACCACCCTCCCGGCGCTGTGTCACATTACATTCTACTTAGCCGCTCTTGCTCCTGACTTCCCCAGGACTAATTTACTGGGGCCCCCTGTGTGTCAGGCCTAAACATGTGTCATCCTCACTCCCACACCACTTGGGGCTGAGGGCGATGGCATTTTTCAGATGAGGACCTGAGAGCTGAGAGGTGTTGGCAGCAATATGGGGATCCCATCAGCCAGGCCTCAGTGCCCCCAACACACCTGCTGTCCTGAGAGTGCATCTCCACACAAATGCGCCATTTACCTCTGCCCTGCCCAGGATGACCCCTGGGGGCTGAAGTCGGGCTGCTAGACCCTGAGGTTGGCCAACAATGAGGGTCTTTGTGCCCAGACTTCCTGGTTGAAACTTGGCCATCTCAGGAACAAGGACCCATGGACATCATGCTGCCCAGCTAGACATGGAGGTGGCCAGCCAAGGTCATGCCCCTGAGGCTAAGAGAAGACACAAAGACTCCCAAAGCTATACTAGCCCCACCCCACCCCAATTGGAGACCTCTAGACCTGAGCTCTCCCTTAGACACAGCCCTGGTGGTTAGTCAGAGGGCAAACTGGAGAGATAGGCACTGTCCCAAGACTTTCCAATGCTGGAAGTGGGATGGCCACAGGGGCCCCCTAGCTTCTCTCACTAGTGTGGCAGTCCAGTTTAATTAAGATGGATATGGTATGTCCCCACTGGCAGGAGCCATGGCCAGCACAGATGGCAAGAGACTGAGACTCTCCTGGGCCTTGCCCTAGCATGTGGCCTTGGCCACCAGCCTGTGGAGCCGTGGCAGGGAGGCTCAGTGGGTTTCGCCTGTCCCATGACCTCATCTACCACTCACCACTCAGACATTTCCCTTTCCGTTCTCTGTCCCTCCTGCCACACATCATACATCCGTATCACACACACACATACACACCACCACCACTACTACCACCACCATTATCATCACACGCCAATCACATTGCACATACCAGTAAGGAGGGGTTAAAATCAGTTCTGGTCTTCAAAGTGCCAGGTGGCCATTGGGAAGAAGAGAGGAAGAGGCAGGGAGGGCACTGACCCCACCCTCTCCAAGCATGAGTCCTATACCAAGTGACAGAGATGTCTACAACCTAGCTAGAGTCTGCCCCCAAGTCCACCTTCTCGGGATGGGGGTAGGGGTCCAGACCTCTCTGTTGCCTCACAGGCCCTCTCTGGCTCCCCCTGCATCCCTCTCCTCTGTCCCAGAAGCTGGAGTGATGCCCAAGATGACACCCCTCCCCATCTAGAAAGAGGAACAAACTAAGAAATGAGGACACACATACACACCCATGCACGCACGTACACAATCCCACAATCCAGAAGCTCTGGCTGGACTTCAAGACCCCAGCTTCTTCCAACCCACACTGTGCTCTACAGGCCACCAAATACCCACAGGCCAACACTACCCCTGGCTTCAAAAATAAAAATTTAAAAATTCCCACCCCGAGATAATCGCTCTCTTCTCCCGCCTATTGTGGTGGCTCTGCGGTCGGCACAGAGAAGCAATTATTCACGGCTAATGATTATAATCAAGTCAAATAGAATTTAATGGACACGGATTCTCTTCCTGCTTGAAACTTTACATATGAATTAAGCACATATGGGTTTCGTGAGGCTTGGACACAGATTTATGCTGCCCGAAAAGCCCCGTGTTGCTTGTGACTTTTATTTCGCTAATAAAGGCTGATTTATGGGCTCCTCAGAACTGTAATCTCTGCTGCCCCCTGGTGGGCAATGTCGAGGGGGGTGGAGCCAGGGCCCAAAGGAGGCGGGGAGACGACACGACTCGGACGGACGGACAGCCACTGAGAACCACTCTGAACAACCAGATAGACACAGGCTCTGGGTGGGATCCCAGTGTACAGGGCCTGCTTCAGCCACTGCCGATGTGCTAGGAGGGTTCTAAGTCCCACCTGAGCCTCTTTCTAGAAAACAGAAATCTCAAGAAAACACACCAAGAGACGTTGGGCCCACTGAGGCAAGCAGGGGAGGGACAGCTATTCCTCCACAGGAGGCACCAAGTTCTTGTTGAGACAGGGCTGGCACTTAGGGTTGGTACAAGTACTGAGTACCTGAGTGAGCATCATTCCTACCTCCTGTGTCCCCAGCAACCCAATGAGTAGCTTTCCACCATCCCCATGTACAGCTACAGAAAGAGGTCTGACAGAGACAGGAGATGCAAAGACCCAGGGGAAGCTGGGCCAACAGAGCCACCAGCCTGGGGCATCCAGCTCAGCTGACACTGGAGTGCTCTTCAGTGAGAAAGAGACTACAGGCTGCTGCGTCCCACTCAGGCTGATCCATTGGCCACATGTCCCGGCCTCCAGAGCCCTGTCCTGCTCTGTGAACCCCCGACACCCACCTTAGTCCATGTACCCATGTTTGCCCACCAGCCAGGATGTGCAGGGGCTTGTGGGCCAGATGCCTGTTCCTCCCTTAGCGATTTTACAGCTCAAAGACCAACAAGGTGCCTCCCACACCCCTAGAAGTGACTGGCAGGACCAGGTGCCAGGGCAAGGAGGCCCAAGGACCTTCCTGAGGACCCTGGGTCACTGAAGCCCCTCCTAGGACAGATAATGACACTCTTTTTTTTTTTGCCTTTTTTTGAGCCAGGGTCTCCCTGTAGCCCCAGCTGGTCTGGAACTCCCTATGTAGACCAGGCTGGCCTTGAACTTACAGAGATCCACCTGTCTCGCGAGTGCTGGGATTAAAGGCATACACCACAATGCCCAGCTAGATAATGACACTCTTACCATGGATGCACGCAGCAACCTAGATGGCCTTGTAGCCCTCCCTGCCATTCATCCCGTGCCAGGTGCTCTAGGGAGTCACACAGAAGCATCAACAGAAACCCAAGCTCCCTCTGCTCCGTTCACTGGCCACTCCAAGTGGCACCACCCCCTTGAATGCCATTCATCCTCTGTGTGCTTGAAATGGGCAGCACGGGGTGGGGGTTAGGGGGCACTGCACTATATGCCACTGCAAACACTTGAGAAAAGACACACAGACCAGAGCCACTACCAGAAATGCCACCCAGACCACAAACGAGAGAGTTCAGGGCAGAGTGAGCAGTCTCCTCTGTGGGGTCCTGCAAAGCCAGAGACCAAGGGAGACCAAAGCAACATTGATAATCTTCAAAGCCCAGAGGGACCTACTTCCCCGTCAGCGCTGGGGCCAGAGGGACCTACTTCCCCATCAGCGCTGGGGCCAGAGGAACCTACTCCCCCGTCAGCGCTGGGGCCAGAGGGACCTACTTCCCATGTCAGCACTGGGGCCAGAGGGACCTACTTCCCATGTCAGCACTGGGGCCAGAGGGACCTACTTCCCCATCAGCGCTGGGGTCAGAGGGACCTACTTCCCCGTCAGCACTGGGGTCAGAGGGACCTACTTCCCCGTCAGCGCTGGGGTCAGAGGGACCTACTTCCCTGTCAGCGCTGGGGTCAGAGGGACCTACTTCCCTGTCAGCGCTGGGGTCAGAGGGACCTACTTCCCTGTCAGCACTGGGGTCAGGCAGAACTGCTGCAAGTATGAAGGAGAGAGGAGTCCCAGAAGCTCCGAGGTGCTACACAGGGAAGGGGATCTAGTATGACAGGTTTCCCTCTGAGTCAGTTCTATGCAGGGGCTCCACCCTCATGTTTACAGGGTCCAAGAAAGAGGCACCTGGGGCTGGAGAGATAGTTCAGCGGTTAAGAGCACTGGTGGTTCTTCAGAGGACCTGGGTTCAGTTCTCAGCACCCACATGATGGCTAACAGCCAGTTCCAGGGGATCTGACACCCTCTTCTAGCCTTTTTGCATGTATGTGGTGTAGTTACATACAAGCAGGCAAAACACTCATACACATAAAATAAAAGTAAAAATGAAAAGAGATACCTCTGATGCCTTGAACAGCTCCTACTGATTGGGAGGGGCAGAGGAGGGGTTAGGACTCAGCCACCATCTGACCTCATTCCAGGAAGCTCCCACACGCGTGCTCAACCTGATCTCCCTGGACACCCATTCCTGAACATTCCAGAGTCCTTTCCCAGAGCCTCTTGACCTCAGCCAGACAACCACCGCCTTCCCTTTCCTCCCTCCCTGAGAGAAGCAGCCACCTTGGCTCGGCTCATCACAATAAACTGCCAAGCCAGCAACGGGAAGAACGGAGAACGTACGCAGGAAGCTGAGCAGCTCCATCTCAGGCACTGGAGGGCTGCCAGGGGCTGCAAGGGACCTCTCCAGGCCCACCCTTCCCTGCATGTGCTCCCTCACCTGGTCAGGTGTGGAGGCAGGGCAAGGCAGGCAGAGGGATGGAAAACAGCTGCACCCCTCCACATCCCCCAGGATGGAGACAGACAGCGCTGGCCTCCACCTCCCTGGCAGGGTAGCGTGGCACCGTTCCAGCCAAGCTCTCCCCCTTCTCTGCTGCTAATGGGCCTCAGAGCTGCAAGTAGGCAGCTTGGCAGAGCGAGGTGCCTCCCCCGCCCCCAACAAGGCAGGTCAGGGTTTCCAAGGAAGAGCGGCCCAAATAGCCACCACACTGGGCTCCCATGGCGCCAGCAGGCCATCCACACCCGCTGCTGGAGCCTCTCTGGAGCCAGGTGTCGCCCACTCGTGCCTGGCACAGCGTGCTGGCCAAGGCAAACATGACAAAGTGGCCCCCCAAGTCTCTGGCACAGATCAGTCACTTACCAGCGTTGACGATGGCATCCACCTCCAGCTTGGTGATGTCCCCACGGAACAGGGAGATTTTCTCATTCAGCTGCTTGTCCTTTTTGTACTTGGGATCCTCCACCTTCACGGACACCCCTGAAACAGGCAGGGCCAAAGGATTGCACAGGGCCCTTCAGTGCACTGTGATCCAGCCAGAGTGCATGGGCCAGGCCCAGCCCTACTTAGAGAGAGCCTAAAGGAGAGTGACCACTGATGCCGATGAAGACATCCCACCCTGCATATGCACATGAGGCCTCCCTGGACCTTTAACAATAACACTCTGGGAAGGTTCAGTGATGTCATATTTTTTTTCTGTTTCTTTTTTTTTTTTTTTTTTTTTTTTTTTTTGTCTTTTTGAGACAGGGTCTCCCTGTAGCCCCAGCTGTCCTTGAACTCACTATGTAGACCAGGCTGCCTTTACCTCCCAAGTGCTTAAAGGCAGGTCTCATGTAGCCCAGGCTGGCCTCAAACTTGATACATACCCAAGACTGGTCTTCAAACTCTTCATCCATCTGCCTCTATTTCCCAAGTGCTGAGACAGTAGGAATGAGTCACCACACCTGCCTTCACACAGACCATTTTACAGATATGGAAAATGAGGCTGAGGTGGGCTCTGTGGCTTGTCTGGGGTCATGGATCACCATGTCTGCACTTAACAAGGCCCAGGAACTCAGATGGCTTTCAAGTCTCAGCTCCCCACACCAAGTTACCCAAGGCCTAGAGCTGGCTTCCCAATGCTGTCATGCAGATCAAAACTGAACTGGTCTTAGGCTGTGTTAATAATTCAACGAAGTGACCCATGCAAAGCTCTTAGGGAGCGCTCAATCCGTGCAGCTGGATGTTCCTCATGGATCTTCCCAAGCCATGGTCTGCAGGAGCCTCCCGCCATTCCCTGGGAGCAGGGTCTACCTTTTGCTGTCTCCTTCCATGTGGGGATCTTCTTCAGGCGGATGAAGTCTCGGCAGAAGTAGTGTTCCTCCCTCTGCTTGTCACTCAGGCCCTTCAGAAAGGCTGTGGGGGTGGGGCAGGCAGGAAGGAAAGTCAGTGTGGTCAGGGGAAAGAGGGGTCACTACCCAGCTCTCTTCCTCTTGTGGAATTCTGCAGAGTCCAGGGGTGCAACCCAGTCCTCCCAGCCATCCTTCCCATGGATTTTTAGACATAAAGTCACTGTAGACCCCAGAACACACTGTCCTGTTCTCTTGTTCAGGAGGGGAAACTGAGGCCCAGGGAAGCTAAAGGACTCAGACACTGCAGATTCTAGTTCAGAATTCATTGTGGATACTTCCTGGCACTGGCACATCTTTCTGGCTCCTTCCTTTCTCCATCTGTAGAGGGGGTAAGACGCCCCTTGCAGAACAAACTCATGCTAAGCCAAGCAGACCAGTGGCACTCAGTCCTTATCAGTCACGGTGTCTTTGACAGCAGGACAAGCATCCTCAAAGACACAGATGGCAGCAGATCTGGTGCCTGCTGCAGCATCTCGCCAGCTCTAGCTCCCATGTTTGTTCAGGGGCTGTGTACAGCCTGCAGGCAAATGTCCCCATTTTTACACAAGAGGCAGCAGGGGTTTGGAAGGCAGCCTAGGGTCACACAACTGGTGAGTGGGAACCAGACCCCTGCCAACTCACGGACTCTGCGTGTGCCAGGCTGTTCCCCCAACTGCAACCCTGCCCTGTGACAGGCCTGCCCTTGCAAGTGAGCCTATCAGGCCACCTCAGCTCCTTCCAGGCTCATGGCTCACGGGCTCCCCCTTCTGGCCTGAGGCTATCTCCGCACTCAGGCTGGGCTCAGCCTTGTCCGCTCCAAAGGAGCAGCCCACATGGCCAACCAGAGCTGAGACAGCACAGAGCAAAAGCCACATGAAGGAACCCGAACAGCATTAGAAAATAGGTAGGAGCAGGGACTGAGGACGTGGATCAGCTAGTAAAGTGCTTGCCTAGTATGCAGAAAGCCCTGGCTGCCGTGTCGTCGTGGTGTCCGTCCCGTGTCTGTCATCCCGTGCCCGCCCCGCACTGCAAAAACAAGAGTGGCGCACACCCATAGTCCTAGCTAGGAGGTAGAGGCAGGAGGATCAGAAGTTCAAGGTCATCCTTGACTACCTATTGAGTTCAAGTCTAGCCTGGGCTATATGAGACCCTGACTCAAAATTAAAAAAAAAAAAAAAAGTAGGCGTCAAACCAGATGTGGTGATGCTACTAGCAATACCAGAACTTGGGAGGCTGAGAGGATGATTAATAGTTTGAGGTTATAGGCCAGGCATGGTGATCCACACTTTTTATGCCAGCACTCAGGAGGCAGAGGCAAGCGGATCTCTGTGAGTTCAAGGCCAGCCTAGTCTACACAGTGAGTTCCAGCTGAGGCTACAGGGAGACCCTGTCTCAAAAAGACAAAAATAAAAGTAAATTTTGGGGCTGGAAAGATGGCTCAGCAGTTAAGAGCACTAACTGCTCTTGCAGAGGACCCAGGTTCAATTCCCAGCACCCACATGGCCGCTATGAACCGTCCTGTAACTCCAGCTCCAAGAGATCCAATACCCTCTTCTCACTTCTGCTTGGCATCTGCACACATATGACATACACACATACTCACACATACACATAAATAAAAATGTCTTTAAAAAACATGAGCCAGACATGGTGGCACACACCTTTAACCCCAGCACTTGGGAGGTGGAGGTAGTTGGATCTCTGTGAGATCAGGGCCAGCCTAGTCTACATAGCAAGTTCCAGGCCAGCTAGACCCTGTCTCAAAAAGACCAAAAAAAAAAAAAAATTTTTTTTTAAATTTTCAGTTTGAGGTAGTTATCGTGGACTACATATAAACAGCAAGAGGAAGAGGAAGAGGAGGTAGACAGGAAGAAGAGAGCAGTTATAGAAGCTGCAGGCAGAAGGGCTGGCTCCTGGAAGCTTCTATGGGAATGGCTCTGAGCAGCAAGTGCTTGAGGCAGACAGGTTCCCCCACAAGTGCCCTTCCCATTGCCAAAGTCATTTGGTCCATCGAAGTCCACAGCCTCATCTGTCCACAGGTAGCACTAGTCCAGTATCTCAAGGATGCTGAAGCACTGGATGACATCACAGAAAAACCCAGCTGAATACCATGCTTTAAGCCATCAGTAGGGGCTAGTGACCTGGGGCTGGAGAGATGGCTCAGCAGGTAAGAGTGGGTTTGGATCTCAGTACCCACATGGTAGCTAACACCCATCCTTAGCTCCAGTTCCAGGGGCTCAGATACCCTCTTCTGGCTTCCATGGCACAGGTGCACTCACATACATGCAGGCAAAGTATTCATACATAATAGAATTTTAAAACTTAATTTTTAAAAGCCAGACCACACACACACACACACACACACACACACACACACACACACACACACACACACACTGCTTCAAGCTCAACTCAAGCCATAGGCACACCCCTGGCAGCCACTTTCCAGCCCTTCCACAGTGTTACCAGGCCACACACATCCTACACTTGGTGCTGGGGATTCGTGGAACAAGGAAGACCCAGGGGCCCCTCCAATCTACCATCCAGCTGGGGACACCAGGAGGATGCAAACACCACATGATCCAGCCAGTCACATTCTGAGATACAGTGCCAAAGAGAAACGGGGCTGGGCTGACCTTCTCTGGCGTCTTAGAAGCTGTTAAAGACTAACTGCATCCCAGGGGCAACATAATCGAACTAAAAATGCTTTCAGAGGTAAGGGTTTTGAGACTGTCCCCTAGTGTGACATTTCATTCTTTAAATTTTTTTAATTATTCTCCCAAGGAACTGGGGACTGAACCTAGGACTTTCTGCATCATAGGCAAGCGCTCTGCCACTTTTTACATCTTTATTTTGAAACAGGATGTCAACTAAGTTGCCCAAGATGGCCTTGAACTCACTTGTAATCTAGGCTGGCCTTGAACTTGCAATCACCCTGCCTCAGCCTCCCGAGCAGCTGGGAGTAAAGGTCTTTGCCACCAGGCCCCATTTTAAGGAGCAAAGGGCATCCCTGTAGGAGCAAAGGGCATCCCTGTGGGAGTGGGATCCTCCATCTCAGCACCCCTCAGCTCACAGCCCTCCCCTCTCTGACACCTAACCCCACCAGACACTTTACCGGCAGCCCCTGGCCCCACCCAAAGGCCCTCTTCTTTATATGGGGTTTGGCACTGGTTGGGAGGAGCTAAAGTGTCCTCTGAGCCTAGGCTGTCCTCTTGGTATGAAACAGACATCCACTACCTGTGCCAAATGAGAGGTGGGCGGGGCTTGTGTAGTGCACAGCAGAGGGAAGGCAAAGATGGAACAGAACAGCTCAGGGGAAGCCCGGCTCTGTGAACCAAGTCTGGGGGTGACAGGCAAGGTGAGGTCCTGGGGTCTGACCAAGAAGAGGGAGACAGACCAACAAAGTTTCTGGAAGGAAATGACCCCAACTGTTCTGGTCTGTCCCCAGGAGCTGTAGCTCATTGCCCAGCGGGAGGTTCCCTCTAAAGTGCTCTCCCCCTAGCATCTCTCTCTCCTGGCTGTTCAGCAGCTGGCTGCTTCCCCACTCTCCCTCTCCCACTCCAGCCCCTTCTCCTCCACCAAGCCGGAACGCCACCACCTGCGCCACCTCCTCCTCCCTCCCTCAGGTCACTGGGCATGAAGGTCCTTCATCACTGGGAGGCTGTCTGGGTGGCTGGCTCACCTTCTTTGAGAACACACCGTCCTGCTATCCCCCCACCTCCCCACACCACCACCTCCCGGACCCCACATTTATGGCTGCTCCTCTGTTGCTTGCAGCCTCTGCCCATGCTCCCCAGGAAGCCCTGCAACCTTTCTCCAACAAGATCAAGATCAAGGTCAAGGCCAAGGTCCTGTCCATGCACTGAGACTATCCTGGCTGCCCCCTTTACACACACAGACACAGACACAGACACAGACACAGACACACACAAACACACAAAGGCCAAGGTCCTGTCTGTGGACTGAGACTATACTGACTGCCCCCTACACACACACACACACACACACACACACACACACACACACACACACATCCTGTCCAGTGTGTCCTCTCTGGAGCTTCTTCCACATCAACTCCATAGACTCAAACCTAGGGACCCCTGGAGGGGTTGGCACCTCCTACCAGGCTCTGCAGAGCAGTCCCACAGCTTGGCTCTCATCCCTCAGTCCACAAGCAACTCCATAGACTCAAACCTAGGGACCCCTGGAGGGGTTGGCACCTCCTACCAGGCTCTGCAGAGCAGTCCCACAGCTTGGCTCTCATCCCTCAGTCCACAAGCAACTCCATAGACTCAAACCTAGGGACCCCTGGAGGGGTTGGCACCTCCTACCAGGCTCTGCAGAGCAGTCCCACAGCTTGGCTCTCATCCCTCAGTCCACAAGCAACACAGAAAGGAGTCCTTCCTTCCCGCTCTGGTGGATCTGGCTGGCCCTCCACTCCTCTGTTTCCAAACCTAGGGTCTTTCCCTTTCCTTCATCTAGCCTCCATACCCTCCAAGCCTTTTAGATTTATCCCCATGACACCCCAGACACCAAGCCCCCAACTCCTAGTTGAGGTCCTTAAGGCAGGTACCCCAGCCCTTATCCTTTGTTCCTGGGAGTCCAGGAGAATGTAAAGCCCATCCCACCCCTCCTGTGGGTGAGACTAAGCTCAACCCCAAAGGCATCACCACACCATGAGCAGGCCTTATGACAACACCCCCCATCTCCCAACCTAACCTGCTGACTACACCCTCATCCACCTGGCCATTTATCACCCTGCTCCTCAGATCCCTAGGTGGCCTCCCGCCTGGAGTCTCTGCATCTGCTGACCTGGGATACTAGTCAAGTCCCCTCCTCACTGTCCCCTCCCCTCCCTTCCCTACTACCCCATGGAGAATCACAAGGGCCTGCCTTGGTTTACATGTATTTCTTACTGGATCTTAGCCAGTAAGATCCATCTGGGGCTCAATCCTATTTACTAGCACAGTGCACAGCATGTGTGTGCATCCATGGGCAGCACAGGATGACTCAATAAAAAGCTGA